TATATATATATATCATGGGATTTAAAAAAATAAACAACAACTTAGAAGATATATCATTCAAAAAAGTAGGTATATTTTAAATTGAAAAGAGGAGTTCAGATAGTTCAATCAAAAAGAATTTGAATTTGAAATCAAAGAGAGACAAATTTCTTTTATAACAACTCATGTTAGCTTGATATTACTCTTTTTGGGAGTGCTAAGACTATTCTGTAAAATTATGTTTAGTCTAATTCAAACATTTAATATTAGTAAAACTCCTTTCATATTTATTAGTAACGTAATTTAGTAGCAGGAATGTGAATGTTTGGTAAAACTTTTTTTTTATATTCAGAAATCATGATTTTTAAGAATGATTTTTAAGAATTATATGTACTGAAAATCATAATTTCTAAAAATAGTTAAAATATATTTGATTACTCAAAAAAGTTTATGGAAATATTCATACATGATTTTTGGGAATTAAAGATTTTCATATTTAATTATAATAGTAAATTCCTGAATTTATAAATATTTTTTACAAAAATATCCTTTAATAAAATAAATTTATTAAATATATTTATTTACTCAAATTTTATTATAAATATGATATTAAATTATTTTAAAAATTTGAAAACTTATTAAAATTATTTAAATACATAATTCAACAACAAAAAATACGAAAATGTAACATTATAATTAAGAAGAATAAAAATATATTGTTTCATTTCATTCAAATAAAAAATAAAAAAATAAAAGTATTAACAAATATCATTAAAATATAGAAATAAAATAAACTTTAATAATATGATCAAAATTGACAAGGTTAAGAAATAATAAAATACAAAAAAAATAGAGAAATAGAGATATGGAAGGGAAGGAGAAAGGGCAAGGGGAGAGCAAGGGGAGAGGGAGATGGAGAGAGAGAAAGAGGAAGAGAGGAAAAGTGAGAGTGAGAGAAACAGAAAGTGAGAAGGAGGGGGAGAAAGAAAAATATAAAGAAAAATGTGAGAGAGAGGGAGAGATGAAAGTGAGGAGGAGTGATGTAACAGCCCAATTTTCAATGCCCAATTCGTTGCCTAGAACGAGCCGTTTCAAAAGTGAAACGGGCTGTTCTGGAATAAGTTAAAGACCCAAAATTTGAGAATCAGAACGGGCCGTTCTGGAGGGAGAACGGGCCGTTCTGGTTTGGAGAACGGGTCGTTCCGGAGGGAGAACGGGCCGTTCTGCTGGGATTGGGAACGGGTCGTTCTGGTTTTGGAACGGGCCGTTCCAGTTCAAAAATTTGCGTAGGTTTGAAGGGCCCAGAACGGGCCGTTCCGGTTTTGGAACGGGCCGTAGTGGTAGGTGGGCGAAAAATCCTATAAATAGGCCTCAAATCCTCTCATTTCTACACACCTCTCATTCTCACTCTCTCTTCTCTTCTGTTCTCTCTTTCGTTCCTCTTCTTCTCTCTGAAGACCAAGAGGAACTCAGAGGATGAGGTTCTGTCCCAGATTTAGTTCCGATCCTTGTTTAAGGAAAAAGAGGAGGAGGTTCTGCCCGAGTTCCTATTTATCCAGGTACGGGGGAAAAGGAGATTATTTATATGTAGAGTTACATGAGGGAATTGGGTAGAGGAAGAGCCCTTAGAGTTATGAATAATTTTATAATTATTTCTGTTTGGAGGATTAATTATCTTATGTGATTCTATATATATTTAGGATTACGAATATATGTTTAACTTGTAAAAATGATGCTCTGGGAGAGAGAACGAAATTATAGAAAAGTGCCTGTAAGTTAGGTTGTGAAAAATTGGATGATTTCTGTTTGAGAAATTGAGGATCCCATTAGATTCTGTATGTGTTGATGATTATAGATATGCTAATAATTTGTAAGAATGATGATCTGAGAGGGAGAACGAAATTGTAGAAAAGTGGCCTTTTCCGGGCGATGTCTAGGCCGAGACCTTAACCATGTGAGGTCAAGTCGAGGCTTTTTGCGGGCGGTCCAGGCCGAGGCCTTAACTATGAGGTTAAGCCGGGGTCGTTTCCAGGCAATGTCTAGGCCGAGACCTTAACCATGTGAAGTCAAGTCGAGGCTTTTTGCAGGCGGTCTAGGCCGAGACCTTAACCATGAGGTTAAGCCGAGAACTTGGACGCGAGAGCTTGCGTCGGGGCTTCGAATAATTGGGATTTACCCCGAGACCTCGGTTGGTGTGGCCTACCACGTTGGCTGTAGCGGTTACAGGCCCAACGGTTACTAAATCTAGGCCGTTGGATGATATAGATCGAACAGTCGAGGCTCGAGGGCGTCTTTTCACCTCCCCCATTTACCTTGCCTATAAATAGGGGGGGTTGGACGTGAAAATTTACGCGCTGTAAATTTTCCGAACTCTCTCGAGATTACATTCTTCCGAACAACCAGAGCAAGGTAAAATTTTGTATTTTTTAATTTTAGCAATAAATGGATAAAGGCTAAATTTCGGCTAGCAGTTGGACGTCTTCGGAGGCGTCTGGTGCTTCATCAGATAAAGAGGGGTCGGCTTCAAGTGAAATATCAAGGTTACCACTGCTGCAGTGCGAAGTTGTCTTCCCTTCCGATCATCCCGAACAAGAGGACAACGGGGATGAGGTGGTCGAGGTGTCGCCTCCAACGACGTTGGCCGTGGCCTTGGCACGAGCAACCGAGGTGGATGACCGAGGTGTAGATCGAGTTGGTCAACCAAACCCACATGCGTTGCGAGTTGACGTAAGCGGGGATGAACTGGAGGTGGTCGGCGATGCACGAGGCAAGAGAGTTGTCGGACCGAGTACTGGGGTCAGGGCACGGATCGACTATGGAACTGTGGAACTGCCTGGTTATGAGTGGGTCGACGGGGAGGTCGACATTTATCTTTTGAAGTTGTCCGACCAAGGATTGTTAGACACATTTGTGTCTTTGGAAAACTGTTTCGGGAGTGGGGAGGACCAGTTTTCGCTACTTGCCGAGGCATGTATGGATGACGGGCCGGAGACTGACTTTGTATTTTTGGAGTCGGGGAACGATGAGGACGACTACTTCTACGCCTAAATGTGCTGGTTCGTAGACCTCGGTGTTCAGCTACCCTTTGACGATTTTCAAATGGGGGTTCTTCGAGTGCTCAACGTGGCCCCGACTCAGTTGCATCCGAATGCGTGGGCCGCGATGCAAGCGTTTCGGAATCTATGCTTGTGTTTGGGTCTAACCCCCCGACCCCTGGCTTTTCTCTATTATTATACCAGTCGTCCGAGCAAGCCGGTGAAGTGGGTGTCGTTGTCTCGGGTGCCGAAGCGAGGGTTTCTCCGAGCCTTCACCTCCTCTTATAAAGGGTTTAAGAATGGGTTCTTCAAGGTTCGCTGGGGGTCGGAGATGAAGATTTGTTTTTATGACCAAGAAGGCGCCCCACTATTTCCCTTTTATTGGACGAAGCGCCATTACAATATATGTGTTGGGGTAGTAAGGGTGTCACAAGTGAAAGTGAAAGAGAACAAGAAAGAGAAAAAGAAAAGAAAGAAAGAAAAATAGAAAGATATTTTTTTTTATTTTAAAAATGAATATTATAGTTTTCTTATATACTTAAATTTTTTTTCCTAATTTAAAAAAATTAGATTCTCAACTCTTATAAAAATATTTTTATGAAAAGATATAATAAAAATAGTTCACAAGAAACTATATTGATGAAATTTTTTTAAATAACTATCAAATATGTTAAACTAATTCTCGCTTTAAGATTTTCATAAATATAAAAACATTTCATATACCAACACTCTCTAATTCTAAATTTTATTTTTCATATAATTTGTAAAGTGTATCATAAAGTTTACCTTGAAACAACTGAATGATGATTTTGGTGTCGTCTTTAGATCTTGTCTGTCTACCACCTTCTCTACCTACGTTATTGACTTTTGGTTTAGTGAAAAGGACCCTCAAAAATCTGTTTCCCCTATCCTTTTGAGGGTAAAAAAGCTCAATCCAAATGACAATAGCATACAGCATGCATATACAAATTTTATTAAGGGATTAATATGTAAAGTTTATGCTGTTTAAAAAATTGTAAGTGGGATCTGATATTTATATAATCCAATAGCTCCATATCGGGTTAAGAAGTATGAATAATTTATTCTTTGTTGTGGACATAAATAACAATAATTACAACTAAATTATAGCTTTCTATAATACATAAGAGGAAGCTTAGATTTCAACTATCATTAGTTAATAGTCTGTGTGGGTAAAACTAGGTTAAAAAGTTAACAAATGTATAAGTTAACCGATTGAGATAAAAAATGAAGATAAATATATTCAATTATTTGAGATAAAAAAATGTTAAATAATTTAATGAAGATAAAAATAAAAAGCTATTAACTTATAAACTAGTTTATTTTCACGAGTAACTTCAAGTAGCTCATGAGTTACTAGAATAAGCTCGTATATTAAACAATTTTATTTTGATTAACTAACTTATAAACACTTATAATATCGTGTCAAAGATAATAATAAACGAAAAAAGTAAAAATCTGGATCAGCCTACGCAATGGCTGTTATGAGTCAAAAATGTCTGCAAATCACGGGATGGATATAGAGGCTTCTATTGGACATTGGCTAACTGCTTAAAAAAATCATTAGTTAATTAATGCAAGTTTTTATAATGGTTTTGTTATTATTAATCAACATTGGCTAACTACTTAAAAAAATATTAGTTAATTAATTCAAGTTTTTATAATACTTTTGTTATTATTAATCAATATACAAACAGGACATTAGTTATATGCTCTTGTTATGATAGCAGTTGGCTTTGTTTTCTTCTGTTGGAAAAGAAGCTCAACAACATTGCTCCATTGTCAACTCTATCTATCTCCCTCCGTGGAGTGGTTAGGACCTAATTTTGGCTCCACTTACTCCATATATTGACTCGCTTGTGACATGTGCCACAAATCAAGGTGGTGAAACAATGCATGAACATGTTACGATGATATTAGAAACATTGAATTTTTAGTTTCCTACCCACTAAGCAGTTTGTTAACTTGTTTCTGTGGCAAGATGCTTGGTGTCATTAGAAGAAAACTGCGTCACCTTTATTCAAGGATATTGTGGCTACTATTGAAGCGCCGCAGGTGTAAAGTTGTTATCAAAAGGTTTAGAAAATTGAACTATAAGGGTCACACTAGAGCAGAATTGTGTAAAAACAAATCCACAAGTGACTCAAATGGCCTCTTGGTTGAGTCTGAATCTGGAAGGCCTATTAGGATTGCTACATTCAATGTTGCCATGTTTTCCCTTGCACCTGCTGTTTCAGAATTTGATGAATGTGTTGGGTCCAATCATGTGAATGGATCTATCAAGAAGGGTGATTTTCCCAAGAGTATACTAAAGCAATCTCCATTGCATGGTTCTCTGGACAAAGCTGATAAGAATCTTTCTGACTCCAAGATTCTGCCACGTTCGAATCTGAAGGTTTCTATCAATCTTCCTGACAATGAGATTTCATTGGCAAATAGTAGGTTGCTTGGTTCAATGGAGAGCAAAGAGGGTACATCAGATGCAATTATGGGGAATGTTTCTGGCAGGCATCAGGTTCCAGCAAGGTCTCCTGTGTGCTTTCCTTTCATTATGAATTGCTGTGAGGGGAATGAGAGATTCACAAGCAGCAGAAGCATCATGGAAGTTCTGAGGGAGATTGATGCTGATGTGCTGGCACTGCAGGATGTGAAGGCAGAGGAAGAGAAGAACATGAAGCCTCTTTCTGATTTGGCAGCTGCCTTGGGGATGAAATATGTGTTTGCTGAGAGTTGGGCACCAGAATATGGAAATGCCATCTTGTCCAAATGGCCTATTAAGAAGTGGAAAGTTCAAAAGATTGCTGATGATGATGATTTCAGGTGCTTTGTTCCTCCCACCTTTCCTTTGAAATAATTGTCACCCTTCTGTTTTCATCATGAAAGTAGTTAGTTATTATTATTACTAGCGGAAAGACAGACATTGTCTGCATTTAGTGATAAACACGCAGATTAACTAATACCAAGTTATTTCAGTTATTTTGTTTTAGAATTTTGAGTAAACAATTGTATTAAATATTTAAAGGGACATCTTTCTTGCCTATAACGTTCTTATGGATTTGGCGATTGTTTGTGTGATGAAGGAATGTTTTGAAGGCCACAATTGATGTGCCCTGGGCAGGAGAAATAAACTTTCACTCTACTCAACTTGATCACTTAGATGAGAATTGGAGAATGAAGCAAGTACATGCAATAATCCGCTCCAATGACCCTCCCCATATCTTAGCAGGAGGTCTAAATTCTCTAAATGGAGCAGACTACTCATCTGAGAGATGGACAGATATTTTTAAGGTAACGTTCTTGGTTCTAACAACTAGTTACATTAAATTGAGTTTCTTTTCCACACCATCTCTGAGAATTTGTTTATGCTGTAGTATTATGAAAAACTAGGAAAGCCTAGGCCAAGGTCAGAAGTGATGAACTTCATGAAATCAAAAGGGTATGTGGATGCAAAGGATTATGCAGGAGAATGTGAGCCAATTGTCATCATTGCCAAAGGCCAAAGTAATGTTTTACTAGATCAATTTCTTCTCTGCTAACTGAATTTAGTTTATTATTACGATGATTATGGTTGTTCAAACTTCAAATTAAGTTTGATTTGAGTGGTGAAATAGATGTGCAGGGGACATGCAAGTATGGCACAAGAGTGGATTACATTTTGGCTTCCCCAAACTCAGCGTACAAATTTGTACCAGGGTCATACTCGGTCATTTCATCAAAGGGAACTTCTGATCACCATATTGTGAAGGTAGACATTGTGAAAGTAAACGCATCTGCGCAGAAAAATGTGATTAGACAGTGCAGGAAACTAAGGCGAAAAGTAGTGAAAATAACACCACCATGTTCTGCAACAAGTGTAAGGGAATCAACCCCACCTCCAAAAATACTTGTACCATAGAAAAGTTTTATTTGATAGAAGTGATATGGTATACTTTGATAATTGGTAAGCAATGTGTTTTCAGTTAGCTGTAAAGATAAAGTAGTATGGCATTGGCCGTGCAATGGAGTTTGAAAATTCTTAGTGCCTTGATTCAGCCTCAAATTGATTAGGTTTGAAAATTAGGATTAATTATGTTTTTAATCTCCTAATTTTAGTTGAGAAATTAAAAAAAAAATCATATTAAAAGAGGTTTTTGGTTATTCATTTTAATTGCATGTTATTTTCTAGTTTCTTTGTATATATTTTCGGGAATCTTAACCAATTAAACTTTTGTTTAGAAAATAAAAAATTGAATTTAAAAAAAGTCTAGGAACTAAGAACTTAGTTAACCTAAATTGTAAAATTTGTATAAATGAGAGAGAGAAAAGGAGATAAATTTGATATGCAATTAATTGTTACGTTTATATCACGTATGAAACAAAACTTGGGCGATTATATATATCTTTGTAAGTGAACTAAGTGTGACAATAGAATTAACCAATTATGTCCCGGTAAGTAACTACCCTCCAAAACTTACACGCAAGCTATTTTTGGAAACATTAGCCCAATTGTTAAAAGAGCCTACCGTCAATTCCTTCACAACAATGCATCATGCATGATTATGAATGATGTAACCGGCTATTTCAAAATTGAATAAATTTATTATTATATTTAGAATTGTCTAATAAAATAATCGAGTCTACAATAATGTGATCTGATCGCTCGAATAATTTTTTTTTAATTCTTTCAATTCTTAATATAATTTAATTTTTTATTCGCCATATTTATTTATAAATTAAAATTTAATATTTTAAAATCAATTATTAATAATTAAATTTTGTTGAAATATAAAATATTTATCTTAAATAAAAAATATATTTTATGTATTAAAAATATTTATTTGTATAAATTTTAAATATAATTTTAGATCAACAAAAAATTTGGATAAAATCTACAATACAACATGATTTCTCAGATTTCACCACTTAAATTAGGGAAGTCTAGTATTTATGTCAAGGTTAAGACAACTTGAAATGTGATTCTATCATGGCCTTAACATGTATAACTAAGTCAATTACGAAATTAATTTACCGACCATCCTCCAAATATTGAGTCATTTTTCTGTATTTAATTAGTGATTTTGGCTCTCGATATTGTACCTTACTCGGTTGGTTACTTCATACACGTATGACTTGACTTTGTCCCATACGGTTCTACATTTGGTCGCTTATAATCAGTATGACTTGACTTGACTCCTATATTATATTAACTAAGTTTCTAGAGGAGGCTCAACAATATACTTCAAGAATCAACTTTTTAAGAAAGGTTTTTCAACAACTGGTCTCACAAATCACCACAATAGTGTGTCCACATAATGAGATATTCATGTTTGAAAACAACATATCTCCTTCAATTTTAAGTCAATCAACACAATTCAACTTCACACATTAAGCATTATCAACATAACTACTTTCAACACTACACAACATACAACTCCATTACAATTCAACTCTCATCTACTTACAACTTTTAGTAACTCAAATATCAACATACATCATCATAGGTTGGTGCATAAGAAGCTAAAGTCATATAACAACATAATTCATACGAGTAATCCGACCTACTAATCCATTATTCAACACTTAGTCAAATAAACAACCATGTTTCATTTAGTATCCCATGCCCGACGTCATTCTCCACGCACTTGATGCCATTGAGGCAAAAAGCCTCTACCGTTGGCTCATCTAAGCCCAATGCCTGTCCACTCCCATCTGGCATGAATGAGGCAAATAGCTCCATGTCAATCACATTTAACGTGGTTAAACCCAACACATCCTCATTCAGGCAGAGAGCCTTTGCTTAACTCACACCCAATGTCACTCAACTTGCGTCCGACGTTATTAAGGCAAAGAGTTATTGCCTTGATAACGTTTGGTACCACTCAACTAGGACTCAACATCACCAAGTCAGAGAGCTTTCGAGGCAACCACACTCAACACCCTTCAATCCATGTTAGGGGTGACCAAGTTAAAGAGCTCTCTTCTAACTCATGCCCGGTGCTGTTAATCTCGCGTCCAACTTCAATGAGATAGAGAGTCTCTAGCTTGCATCATGTCCAACACCATGAAGCTATGCTTGGTGCGATGGTGAATTTTGCATTTGGAAAATTCACGTTTTGACTCAACCCACCTTAAACTCAAAAGATTTCTAGCATGCAAAGCATAATAACACACATGTACACTTCAAACAACTCAAATACAACATCATAATCAACATGAAACCATCTAAGGCAAGATTCACCAAAATCCCCTCCACACGCTTAAGAACAAAAAAGAAAGCTCAACATAAGATTTACATCTCACAATAATCAACACAACCACGATTTTAATGAAAATCAAGCAGTATACAACTTAACAGTTCAAGTTATAGCTTCCCTTGCCTCTAATTCGACTAGAATAGAGGAAGAAGCAAGAAATTGGAGTTTCTCGGCAACTATGGACGAAGACCACCAACACTTTGATTCTTGGCCCTAAAGGCTTCAACTCTCAACTTTGTTACTAAGCTATGATTAGGGGAAGACTTAGAAACTCAAGGAAGTCAGTAGGAGAAAAGAAATTAATCTCACAAGCTTTAGAGCTCTTCTTTATAGATTCTCTCTCTATGTTTTTAAGAAATGAACTTATAAAGTTCACTTTTTAAGAAATACCTTATATACACCCCCTTAATTGGTTAATTTTGATCTAAACTCAAAACAACTTCTAAACAACAGAAACTTATCGAAATTTCTAAATCCTTGATGTTTTTCAACAATTGAACAACTAATCACAATATCAATTTAATTAATAAAATCAATAATTATTATATAAAAAAATGCACAGTGTTACAAAAATTACAAATCAAAATTAAATTGAGATATTTATTTAAAAATTACATAGTTTAATGATAAAAATGGTAATTTAAAAAATCAAAAATATATTTAAATTTATAATATAAGATTAAATTAAAATACTATATCCTTATTTGTGTTATTATTATTTTTCATCAAAATAAATGAGGGATAACGTGTAGATGGGCTTGTTTAAAGGTGCAATTCACGTAAACGTTAGTCAAACAATCCAATAATAGTATCTGCGTATCGGTCCTTCAACTTCATTTGTCCAGCCCAGTCCATCAAGAGCCATCCATCATCTGTCACTTTTACTTAAAGTGTAACATAAGACTATGTTTAATAAATATTAACTTTTTGAAAAATAATATTAAAATTCAATTTAAAATGAAAAATATAAAAAAAAAAATTTGCTCATTTTACTCAAAGCAGCAAAACAATAACATGATAGGCTATACAATGCGTTATGAAAAAATATAAATAATTTGTAATTAACTATTGTATTATAAATATGTACCTGGATGAAAGAGACGCACATAAAAAATAATAAAATATAATTAAATTATACTTTTGCTACTCTATTTTTATTCATTTGTAATTTTTATTTCCTATTTTAAAATAGAAATATTTAATCATCTTATTTTTAAAAATATAAAATTTGTATTCATTAAAAAAAATAACATATAAAATATCTTCATTTACATTTAATTTATCAAATGATTGATATTTATTTCATTAATAAATTTTATTTGTATATTTTAAATTTTTAATTTTCAAATTTTATATTACTAAATATTACAGTACTAAAGTATGGAAGAATGTTAAAATTTAATGATCAATAAGTATTAATTTAATCAAAAAATAAAAATTATATATTTTTAAAATTAAAAAA